AAAGTTATACACGTTTTGGTATATTTAAATGAATAATCAAGCCTTTTCCTTTTTCTAATATTTAATTTTCAAATTCACGTGTTCGTAAAGGACATGCATAAATGAAAACCAGACTCAGTCAATTTTTTTTTGATAAACCGTAAAAATTCTAAACTTTTCGCTAATAATTTTTTCGGCATTCGAAAACAATTTTTGAATTTTTCGATTGAAAAAATAATTTTCCGTACAAAAAAAGGTTTGAATTCCGGATACAGAAAAACTAACCCCTTTGTTATGCATTTTCATTCATTCTTAAAAAAACATATAAATGAAAATGCATAACAACTTCTGTGGTGTATATCTTTTTTATTCTTTACCTTCATTCCATTAATAATTTCTTCTCGCAACCTTTGGAATATAAAATCTTAATTTGAATTATAAAATATTAGAGCATCTCAACTCTATTCTTTCATTTTTTCATTTTAAAATAGAGTTGGGTATTGGGTTGTACTCCACCGTACTCATTTTAGAGTAAATAGATTAATAAGATTATCCAGTTGGATTATATTTTTCACCTCAGATTCTTTTTTCAACTCCAAAATAAAGTAAAAATTAGGGTTAGTCAAAATATAAAGTAATTCTATTCATTACTATACTTTTTTTATTTACCATTCCATTTTTTACCTTAAAATGAAATAATTTTAAAATGAAATTAAGTATAACTCAAACTCCACTTTATTTTGGAGTAAAAAATAAAATGATGAATAAAAAAATGAAATAGCGAATATGATTATTTCATATTTGGAGTAAACCTATCTTTACTCTATTCTGAAATTGGAAATGGAATATGATTGGAGAGGATTTATTCTAAACTCTATTTTGGAATGGAAAATAGAACGATGTTAAAGATGTCCAATATGTTTAAAAAATGGAGAATAATGTTTTTTCACCATATTTATTTATTTTATTTTGGAATTGAAAATGAAATAGGGTTAGAGAAGATTTTACTCCAAAATAGTGTTTAGAGTAGAAAATAAAATGAGGTTAGAGATAGCTTTTGAAAAGAAAAAAGAGGAAAATTCAAATGGCATTGAATTCAAACTGAGCCATGATCGTACCTTCTTCACTACCAACCCATAGCAAAACATGAAAAGAAAATTGTTCCAAGGAGTAGATGTAAGTTGTTCCAACAAAGTTTAGAATGAACACATATTTTGATCATCAAAATGAGGAGGTGCAAATGGTATAAGTTCTAGCTAAAAGAGCCATTAATTTTCTGACTATTTCGATTTGGCTTACTTATCATCACTCTTGAATCACCAATTCTCAAATTTTTGACTTATCGTTTCTGTTCCTACATGTGTAGTCTACGTACAGCCTCATCTTCATGTACACACTCAATCCAAACCACTCATGATGTATACAGCTTATTACACACCTGGGATTCTATTAAGGTGTTTCCAACAATCACTAAAGTAAAAGGTTTGCAGTTATATAGAAGGTCAAGTGAATGGCCGTTATTAACAATCACGAAAGTTCTATCTAATTAGATAATACCTCAAGGTCTTAGATACGTTGGAATGGACAACGATTAGAAGCCGTGGAAAGCGAGGTCGAAACCGCAGTGGCAGTGGCGGCTAATCTCCCTCTTATCCCACCATAAGAGTTTCATGTTTGACCTCTAAATATAATGCATCAAAGTTTTTCAAAAAAGAGAATATATTTTATCTTCTAACATTATAACTCAAATTAATTTGACAGACTAAACAAGAAAACGATTGATTGCAAAAAACGAACTACTTTTTGGATATGTATGTATACTCATACAGTTCCTTAAAATTTTATTAGGATACAAAAAAATAAACTTGACAAATAAACAAAATAGACAGACATGTATGTATGTATATATATTGTCATTCATATGAACATCGAAAACTCTCCTTTTTGATCTATTACTTACTCTAGTAGTAATTATATTTTTTGCGTTCGAGCTATAGTTAAATCTAGCATATTATCTTTTCTTTTTGATAAACTGTAGAAATTTCGAGTAAAAAATCTAGCATATTATACCGAGACTAGAAGAGTCTACTACAACAATTACGGACAAGGAAGTTTCGTATAACATATGCAATCATGGTAATCTTGCTTTCGCCATCTTACACCTTTACAATCCCAACGAGCATATTTAGGGATTCTAGGGTCTTTCATTTGACCATGGCACAACTTGTTTCCGCCAGCTCCACATTTTCCAGGCAATCTAGCAAAACGTCGACACAGAAGAACGTGTGCTTCCACTTCTACAATTTTCAAGCAACCACAAAAATATTGTAGATGAAATTTAGCTAAAGAATTAATAATCAGTTTAAAAGGTTTTTGCCTCTTTATAGTTCAACACAAACCTTTTTGGATGGAATGATCAATGTTTTCCAAACTCATAAATATATAATCAAATCCAAAGAAAAATAATATATTACCTTTCATAATGTTCAAAATGAGAACACAAAAAACTATAAAGAAAGTAACAAATCTCATAATTCCAGATTTTGTTTTTTAAAGTTGTTTATGGTTAATTGCGGAAACTTCTTGTTTTTCTTAATCTCGTGATAACTAAATACTTTGTTGATACAAATAATATAAACTCAACACACACACTAAAAATAGATCTTAATATTAAATTACGGGAAAAAGGTAAAATATTAGAAAGAAAGAAATGTGTGGCAGCCAGTGGGATAG